CTATGAGATGAATTGGAACTTGAGTTTTGCATGTTATTTTAGATGTGGTGGATGCTTAATAAATATGTCAACAGACGTGTTAACGTGTGCATATTTAATAAACAGTGACTACGTAGCAACACGCCACCCTTTTAACCTGGGTAGTTTGGCTGATCTAGGTAGCTGGCTAGGGAAGACTTTGCTTTACCTGTTCTCTGTCACACGGAGCTGTCTCTTAACATTGCACCTGTTGGCACGAAGGGCTGTGACCTTACAGGGAGACGGAGTCCTCTGTCACAGCCTGTAACCTGGCCATGCACTCCTGCTTAAGCCTGTAGACAAACAGCCCAGCACCAGAGTGAGAGCTGACCTAAAAATACCAGTTCAGCACAGCAGTTCATTAGGAATCAGACCTGGCCGGGCGGTGGTGGCGCACACCTTTAATCCCAGCACTTGGGAGGCAGAGGCAGGCGGATTTCTGAGTTTGAGAGTTCAAGGCTAGCCTGGTCTACAGAGTGAGTTCCAGGACAACCAGGGCTACACAGAGAAACCCTCTCTTGAAAAACCAAAAAAAAAAAAAAAAAAAAAACCCCCCCCCCCCCAAAAAAAAAAAAGGAATCAGATCTGGCAGAATGGGTTGTTGGGGAATGAGGTGTGCCTTATTTTCTCAGTTGGAGGTCAGTAGAGCAGGCTGAGACGAACTTTTTTCTCTCTAGCTTGGGTGCTTTAAGAGGCTCTTGTGTCCTTTAAGCTTGTTTATATTCAATATCAGGAACAGAGAGACAGCTTTCTCCTTAGATGGTCAGATCTTGTAAGTCTTGGAAGGAAGAAAGCGTTGGCACTGTTAGGAAGACTTTCTCAAAAGCCAGGCAAGGGTGGCTAGCAACTTTCCCCTAGGCTACCCCCAAATGGAAACAATGTGGTGGTGTTGGGGAGTTAGCCTCTGAATTTGTCTTGGAGCTTTATGGGACCAGAGAGGGAGGAAGGAGAGACTAGCAAAGGGCACCTTAGGGATAACCCCAGGGAGTGGGGTTAGAACTCGGGCTGTATTTGGTTTAGACAAAGAAGCATATTACATTCATTTTCAACCTAAGGGTCAGTCATACTTGTGACTCTTGTAGTGTGCTGGGCTCCCAAAGAGCCAGATAGCAAACACTCTCTTCAGTTTTTCCATTTGTACCACATTTAATCACAAATCTGAGCAGCTTAGAGGTTGATTCTCTTTCCACCTGGGTTCCAGGGATTGGACTCAGGTCATTAGGCTTGGCAGCAGGTGCCATTACCTACTGAGGCCATCTTGCTGGCTGTAGCTTAGAGGTTGAGCCCCAAGGCTTTTGAACCCAGGCAAGCCCAAGTTCAGATCCTCTGTCCATCACTTTACTGGCTGCGTGAACCTTGGGCAAATCTTTAATCTGCCTAAAGCTTCTGTCACATCATTAGAGAATGAATCTCCTTTAGTATGCTTATGCAAATGGAATGGCTTACCTAGTGTCTTGAACATGATACATACTACTAATGAACACTATTTCCTCCTCAGTACTGGGGGCTGAACTCAGGGCCTTGTGCATGCTAGGCAAGAGTTCTGTCACTGAGCTGTGTCCCCAAACAGTTGTCTTTGTTATGATATGCTTTATGAACCAAGAAGGAAGAAAAAAATCCTGTCATATGAAGAAAGGAAGGTTTTTAGTGAGGCCAGGTATCCCTTCTGGTGGCAAAAGGGCTCTTGTAAGCCCAACCTCGGCCTTCTTTTCATCAAAGCCAGGAGGGATCACTGGGTTCCCAGGACCTCTCAGAGCCAGAACCCCACCATCCAACTGTCCCAGGTTCCCCAAAGCTCTTCAGAGATATAAATATAGACGGAATTTCTGAGATGTGCTGGTTCATGGCTTTTGTCTGAGCAGACAACTTGGCTTGGTCTTGGCCCTGTTTCTGATTACTCTGTTCCATGAATCCATTGTTTTGATTCACTCTGTGGTTTTCACTAGAATCTTCCAGACCCACTTAAGAGGACAAAGGAGCAGAGTGCCAACCTCTGGCAAAACCCAGACAGCGAAAAGACCTGGTCTAATTTTCCCAGCGTCACTGATGTAGCTGTTGGAGCTGTTTTTAAACTTTAAGTGGTATATTTACTTATTTAGTTATTTTTAGAGACAGTTTTCCAACTGTAAAAGCATAGGCAGCAATTATGAAAAATGTGGAAGTCAAAGATTCTCTACTCTTCTCCCCCATTTTTGAAAGCAAATAGTTTAGTAAAATTCTACTTCTCTAAATCCCATTAGACTTTGGAAATACCGCCTTACAAAATTTATAGCTTTTTCAATTAGTTAATCAGTAAATCAATTGGCCAGAAAATCCTTATTGAGTGCTCGTGTGTGTGTGAGTGTGTGTGTGCTGACAAGGGGGTCTGTGGTCATGGTGAGATAAGAGAATGAAGAGCTCTGAACTCACACATGTCTCACAGGCCCAGAGGGGCTACTAATCTAATGGCAGTGCAATTAGCAATCAAGCATCTGGCCCTTGAGGGTGGTGGAGTTTAGGCAGACGATAAATGTGCACATGATATGAACAGGGAGACAAATGAGTCCCAGGGTGAAAGCATCCAATGGGGGAAGTGTCTTGTTTCTTAGGCCCCGGAATGAAGGAAAAGTTAGCCTCTCTCTTCATCTGCTCCCTCACCCACCCACCTGTGGATGCAGTTAAAATCCCCAGAGTCTCCATGTGTAAGTGATATATCATAATTGCACAGATGTGCAATGCACAATTGAAAAGTTTTCTAATTTCTTATAAAATTTTTATTGGTTCTTTGTGAATTTTACATCTTGTACCCTAATCCTTCTCATCTCCCCCTCCCCTTGTACCCATCCTCCACCCTTGCAACTCCTCCCCCAACAGAGGAAAAAAAATCTCTCTGTGGAAGCTGTAGTGTGTTACAGTGTGTTCCACAGTATACTCTTCTGTTCACAGTTCTTTGCTTGTTGGACTAGTTAGGGTTTCATTGCTGTGAAGAGATACCATGACCAAGGCAACTCTTATAAGGACAACATTTAATTGGGGCTGGCTTACAGATTCAGAAGTTCAGTCCATCATCATCAAGGCAGGAATATGGCAGCATCCAAGTAGGCAGGGTGCATGAAGAGCCGAGAGGTTTACATCTTTGCTCAAAGGAAGCCAGGAGCAGACTGTCTTTTCTTCACTGGACAGAGGGTCAAAGCCCATCCCTACAGTGCCCACTTCCTCCAACAAGGCCACACCTCCTAACAGTACCATTCTTTGTGGGACATGCAAATTTAAACCATCACACTTGGAAATGTTCATTGTAATGAGTCATTGGTTTAGTATGAGGGCTCTGGCTTCTGCTACACTATCAATACTGGAACCTCACTGGACTCCTCTCAGACATCTTGTTGTTGCCCTGTGTCATGGAGATCCTGTAGTTTTGGATCTACAGAACTTTATGCACCTGAGCAGTCCATTGATGAGGGGTAGATGTTGGGGTGGGCCAATTCCAAGCCTTGGATCTGGGCCTGAGAGACATTTGAGCTGGTTCGCTCACATCACTGGGGCTCTGCACTGCTCTGGCTGGCCCATCCAATGCTAATGCAGCAAGGCACAGAGCCATCTTTCCTGCTCCCATGCTCCTGGGGCTGGCTCATCCACATTCATGCCATCAGGGTCAGTGATACTGTACTGCCTAGGTGAAGTGCAGGACTGACTCTCCCAAGGTCTGCAGCAGGCAAGGGACAGGGCCAGTTCTCCCTCTCTCATGAACCCCTCCCCCCAGGGGAAGCTATCCTGCCTGCCATAGGTAGCAAGGGGAGGGGGTGGGAGAGGATCATTTTTCCCTCTCCCATGTGACCAGATGTCAGACAAGTGGCGGGGCCCAGCTCTCCCATGCTCACACTCTCGGGGCTGGCTCACCTGCACCCACTGCCACCACCATCACCACCACCAGGATTAGCTCTACTGGTCTTTCCCGGGTGAGGTTTAGGTCTCACCTCTCCTGCTCTCATAACTCCAGGTCCAGGATTCCCACTTGTTGAAGGTGGCAAGGAGCAAGTGGGGAGAGGGTATCTCTTCCTCTTCTATGTCACTACATAGGAACTGAGTGGCAGGGCCAGATTTCTAGGCTCATATCCTTGGGACAGGCTCATCCATGACTCCTGCAAGCAAGACTAGCTCTACTGTGCTTCCTGGGTGATGTGGGAGGTTGGCAAGGGCTCTCTCTTCTACTGCAGCTGGGTAAGGGAAGTGTCAGGTCTCCTGTTCTTATGGCCTCGTGCTCTCATGTCCTCAGGATCAGCTCTCCCATGATGCCCAGGCTAGGGGTGGGACCAGTTTTGTACAGCCCTCAGCCATCAACATGTCCCAGGGCAGCAACCCAGACCAGAGACATCTGCTTGGCCTTTGGTGGTAACAGATCCCTGCTGCTGCAAGGTCAAAGAGTCAGATGTGGACCCTTGTGGCAGCACAGGCTGGGACCCCTCCATGGTCCCATGTGACATCACTGGCTCCTCACATCAGGCTGTTGTTCCTCACCACCCTCGACTCTCCAGTTCTGCCTCTCTTCATTGTGCCATCCTTCTGTTTCTCTTTCTCTTCCATTTCTCTACCACTTACTTGTTCCTCTTAGTGGTGCTCAGGGTCTCTGAGTATCTGGAGTCATCTCAGAAGTAGTCTCAGGAGTGCTTTGCCCTACCCATGAATTATGGCGTGGGGCAGGGGCTCATCTCAGGCATGATCTGCTCTCATCCCAGCCAGGCTTGCACAGCTCCAGACTGGTGGTCATCTCAGGCTAGCTCCCTGTCTGGGCCCCATGGCTCCAGACTGATGGACATCTTGGCCTTGCTTCTCACCTGGGCCCATCAGAATGGCCATCTCAGGCACACTCCCTCCAGGGACCCATGGTCCCAGGTGGGGTTCATTTTGTCTCTTTCTTGCTCCCTGCCCTGGGAGCTCATCCAGGCTTGCCTGAGAGGTGGTACCAGACTGGTGGTCATCTGAGGTTCACTTTTTTTTCAGGGAATGTTAGGCTACTAATGATTCAGATGTTCATAGGTCGGAACACTGAGTGTGGACACGGGCTCTTTCCTCTCTGCCACCTACTGATGCACACGTGGCAGCAGCCACTCCTGCAAAGCCTCTAGAGACTGGCAGTGTCTCCTATTTCTACAGCAGTGATATCACCCCTCCTACAGCTATAGTGAGTGACTTTTACCTTAAAAGTCTCCTTGGGCCCTTTTTATTTGTGTCTATGTGTTCGTCCCCGTGCATGTGTGTGTGTGTGTGTTTGCATGTGCATGTGTGTGGAGGTCAGAGGTTGATGCTGGGTGTCTTCAATTGTTCCCCACTTTGCTTTTGAGACAAGGTGTCTGATTGAGCAAACACCTCACTGGCTTAGTTGGACTGGTGGACCCTAGTGCTGGGTGAGATTATAAGCACACACTGTCACTGCAGGATGGAGGTCCAAATTCAGGTCCTCATGTTTTTGCAGCAAGCCCTTCACCTACAGATCTTAGCAGCCCTGCCTTGTGCCCTTTTGAACGCTTCCCATCCACCTTCTCGGATGCTGTGTGCCATCTAGAAACATTAGTTTGCGTGTTTCCCTTATCAAAGTGCATCAACATTTAGTTTTTTGGTCCCATTTCCTTCACTTGACCTAATTAGTTTGAGATTTATCTACATTGAGGTATATCCACATTTTGCTGCCTCTTATTCTTGAGATTTGTGTGAGTACCTAACTATGAGTTGAATTTACCCATCGATGATACACTTGGATTGTTTGCAGGTTTTGGTGATTAATTGCAGTGATGTTATGAACATCCACATACAAAGTTTTGTGTGTCCATTTCTCTGGCATAGACAACAAGGAGTAGAATGTTTGCTTTGCAGAGAGCGGCTGTGCACAGCTTTCAAGTAGCGCATGAATGGTGTAAGAGAGAGCTTTATTATGGCATTTTCATGCATGTCTATGTGCTACTTTGTTTATATTCATCGTCCACACTACCTACAGCTAACCTCCATCTCCCCGGGGCACCTTCCTACTCTCTAATAGTCCCCCCACTTCTGCTTTCATGTCTCTCTCTTATTTAAAGACTCTGCTGTGAGAGTAAGCATATATGATGCTCATCTGAGCCTGATTTATTTTGCTTAACATGATGATACACAGTTTCCTGAAAAGGACTCAACAAACAAACAAAAACAAAACGACAAGTCAAACTAACACATAGTCTTACTATACCACAGTTAGGAAAATAACTGAAGGAGTCAAAGACAGTGTACAGGAGAGAGTCGGCTCGTTCCTGCGTGCCACATTCCCTATGCCAGCCAGCCAGAGAGTTAGCGTAAGTGCCTGTCCACAGACGAGTGGATAGAGAACGTGTTCTTAGGGAACTGAGAACCCGGTTTCCAGAGTGACTGTGGCGTTATACATTCTCTTCAGCCGTGGGTGGAGTTCTGTACTTTCTACTACGTCCCACCCGTGACAGGTGACTCTTCAGTTCTCAGCTCTGATGGAAATGGTGCCAATATTCACTTCCATTTTAAATTTCTCTAAAGACTAATGACTGTGTCTTTCTTCCACGGGTAGCTTCTCGTCTCCATTCTTGTCTGGTGAAACATCCATTCCAGTATTTGAAGTACTTGCTGGTGTGTTTGTCTTATTGTAAACTCTTGGCAGTCCTTATACATTTGACAATTCTAGTCGGTTATGAGCCATATCATTTATTAGATATGACTTTCCTCTTCTCTGCAATCTGTCTTGTTTTTTTTAAAAAGATAACATTTATCTATTTATCTATTATTTCTTTATTTATTTTTATGTATGCCTATGGGTGAACATGCACAAAAGTCAGAGGACTGCTTTGGGGAATCAGTTCTCTCCTTCCACTGCATGGATCCTGGGGCTTGTACTTGGGTTGTGAGATTTACCCCGTAAGATTAACATCTTATGAGTGGTACTATTTTATTAACTGTAATTCCTGAATATATTTCTGCCACTCTGCTGAAGGTTGCTTACTGCTCCTTGTAGCTTATGGCTGAGTCTATCAGAGTAAGGAGAGTTTCATTTCTTCTTTCTGTGTGAATGCCTCTAGCTTTCTTCCTTCCTTAGTGTGTCCTGTCTGGACTCAGGACAACGTGGACCAGAAGCAATTGGAGTGGATACCCTTGCCTTCTTCTTTATCCCAAGGGAAAAGCACTTACCTCATCATGGTAGTTATTGGACATTACTTGGAGATGCTCTTTACTGCTTAGAGAACTTTAATCCTACATTGCTGAGTGTGTATTAGAAATAAATGTTGTGGATTTTTACAAATGATATTTTGGGAAGCTGTTGAGATAATCATATATGTTATTTCTTCTTAGTTTATTAATATGTTTTGACAGGTAGCTTAACTCCTTGATGTATTTTTGAATATTAAATCAGCCTTGTATCTCTGGGATAAGCCCTCTTGCTCATAGTATATTCGTCTCTAAAAATACTGTTGGATATTTTCTGGAAGCAGTGCTACGTCCAGCCCAGTTTGGCCCCAAGGCTGCTGTGTAGCCCAGGATGACCTGACTACTTGGTGCTCCTGTCTCCATCTCTCGAATGTTGGCATTACAGATGTGCACCACACCAGCTGGTTTTATTTTTCAAGTCAGCATGCTAATATTTGATTATTGTTTCTGTGTATAGTTGTGAAGAACGTTAGTCTGTAGTTTTCTAGTAATATTCTTGTCTGGTTTTATTAGTGGGGTCATGGTGCTCTTACAGGATCAGTTAGAGAGTACTTATTCCTTTGATGGAAAATGTAATACAAAACCAGCACTGGTTCTTCCTTAGATTATTGGTAGAATTTATCAGTAATGCCATCTCCATGTGTGATTTTTTCTTTTTTTCACACGTGAGTGCTGTGCATATGTGTGTATACATGTTTGCATGTTGTAGGCACAGTTGTGTGTGTACATGTATGTGGGCCCCTACACATGTGGCGGCTTGAGTTGATGTCAGGAACCAACCTTGGTACCTCTTCCACCTTATTCATTGAAGCAGGATCTTCTTTTTTTTTTTAGTTTTATCTTTATTTAAAAATTTTTATTGGATGTTTTATTTACATTTCCTATGTTGTCCCCTTACCCCATCCCCCACCCACCCAGGAACCCCCAATCCCCTCACCCCTCCTCCTTCTTCTCTGTGGATGTAACCTCTATCTACCCCCCACCCCCCACTCCCACCTCCCCACCCTCAAAATTCCCACCCCCTGGGGCATCCAGCCTCCATGAGGTCAAGGTTCTCTTCTTCCACCTATGCCCAGCAGGGCCCTTCACTCTTACATATTCAACTGAAGCGCTGGATCCCTCCCTAAGTGCTCCCAGGCTTGTGGTATAGACCCTGGGAGCTGTGGTTGGTTGGTATTGTTGCTCTCCTCATGGTGCCACAAACCCTTTCAGCTCTCCTTCAGTTTTCACTCTAACTCCTCCATTGAGAACCCCATGATCAGTTCAATGGCTAGTTGTGAGCATCTGCCTCTGAGTATGTCAGACTCTTGAAGACCTCTGAGGAGATATCCATAGCAGGCTCTTATCAGCATGCACTTCCTGACTTCCACATCAGCATCTACCTTTGGTGATTGCACATGGGATAGATACTCAGGTGGAGTGGTCTTGAGACGGCCCCTCCTTCAGTTTCTGTCCCTCACTTTGTCTCCATATTTGCTCCCTTGAGTATTTTGTTGCTCCTTCTAAGAAGGACCGAATCACCCCCACTTGGTCTTCCTTCTTTATGGGCTTCATGTGGCCTGTGAGTTGCATCTTGGGCATTTCAAGGTTCTGGGCTAATATCCAATAATCAGTGAGTGAATACCATGTGTGTTCTTTTGTGATTGGCTTACCTCACTCAGGATGATAATTTCTAGTTCCATCCATTTACCTAGGAACCTCTCGAATTCATTGTTTTTAATAGCTGAGTAATACTCCATTGTGTAAATATACCACATTTTTTGAATCCATTCCTCAGTTGAAGGACATCTGAGTTCTTTCCAGCTCCTGGCTATTATAAACAAGGCTGCTATGAACATAGTTGAGCATATGTCCTTGTTATATGTTCGAGCATCTTCTGGGTATATGCCTAGGAGTGGTATAGCTGGATCCTCAGGTAATGCTATGTCCAATTTTCTGAGGAACTGCCAGACTGATTTCCAAAGTGGTTGCACCATCTTGCAGTCCCACCAACAATGGAGGAGTGTTCCTCTTTCTCCACACCCTCGCCAGCATCTACTATCACCTGAGTTTTTAATCTTAGCCATTCTGACTGGTGTGAGATGTAATCTCAGGGTTGTTTTGATTTGCATTTCCCTGACGACTAAGGATGCTGAACATTTCTTTAGGTGCTTCTCGGCCATTCGAGTTTCTTCCATTGAAAATTCTTTGTTAAGCTCTATACCTCATTTTTTAATAGGGTAATTTGGTTGTCTGGAGTCTAATTTCTTGAGTTCTTTGTATATATTGGATATTAGCCCTCTATCAGATGAAGGATTGGTAAAGATCTTTTCCCAATTTGTTGGTTGTCGTTTTGTCCTATTGACAGTGTCCTTTGCCTTACAGAAACTTTGCAATTTTATGAAGTCCCATTTGTCAATTCTTGATCTTACAGCATATGCCACTGGAGTTCGAAGCAGGATCTTCTAATCAAACCCAGAGCTGCTCAATACAGTGTTGCCAGCTTGCTCTGAGGATCCCTTGTTCTGCTTTCTGAGGCTTGACTTACAGGTGGGTCACCACACCTATGCTTTCCTTTTCAGAACTCTGGCCCTCACACCTTCACTTCAAGGCCTTAACCACTGAGCTGTCTCCCCAGCCCTTCACAGGCAAATTTTATCCAGGCAGTGGAACACTCTAATTCTTGAGCCAAATTACGTTGGCTTGAATTCCATATTTGCCAAATATGTGATCTTAGGGTAGTTCCCAACACCTTCCTGCAGAATCCAGGAGTAGTAATGCAACAGTGATTACTTCTTTCATGAAATTGCTGTGATGGTTAAGGAAGAGGATGTGCAAACTCAGTGACTTTTCCCTGTCGCTGTTATCATGAGCTGGTGTCTCTTGGACAAACCTAAATCAGAAGCAGCATAGTCCAGAGCTTAGAGGGAGAGTATGGACTGGTTCTCTCTATA